AGGACAAGGATAAACCACAATCAGCTCATTTGCAGATACACTTTCTCTCAACAGAATAAAAGAGAAGCTCATCATCTTAACTCAGTGCAACTTATAGCACATCATTTCATGTGTCGAAATAAATTACTTTTATTCATTGTTTTTGTAAGATTCACCAAGTCTGACAGCACTAGGAAAAGAGGCTGCAGCACACTGAGAAAGGAACAAGGCCACACATTCTTTCTCACTTCTGATAAACCAAAACTACACGAGGTTGAATCATTCCTGATCTTCTTCAAGTGGAGGAACACTTTTAGTATGAGGAGAGGATGCTTACCTTTATAGCTTCTTCATATGCAGATGGAGTAGCCTGCGACTACTGCTTTAAACCTGGCACGGGAGAAAACTGATTCAACAGCCTTGGTTTCCTAAATTAATCTACATGCAAATTCTGCTGGCACATCATCATTATTATTAGCAGTAAATACCACACATGATCCCAGAAAAGCTATTCTGCAAGCCATACCTTCGCAGATCTTTCTGTTCTTCCCACTGTTTCTGCTTCAGCAGCTTCTTCCTTTGCCTCTTGGACATTGGCTCAAGGCATTCTCCCTTGCCTGAGCCTGCATCCTGTCTCTCCACTGGACTGTCACTTGACTTCACCTTTCCTTCCACATCAGGAACTTCAGGGGACATGGTACCTTCTGTTGGCGCCTCCAGACCTTCTGTCGGCGTTTCTGTTGACATTAGCTTTTGGCCACGTTTACTGACTTGTTTCCCAAAATGTAATAAATATTTCATTAAAAGTAAGCTTTTCCCTCACTTGTTCTGTAAAAAGCAATAGTATGATTGTTATTAATGAGAAGCTCAGTTAGAACAAGTATCTACACTTACCATAAAACTCAATAAAGTAGCAAGAGATGGCTTTTTTTTTTTTAAAGCTAGATTGCTGCCTCTGCAAGCAGTAACATATAAAATACTAGAGATTATAACCGGTATTCAGACCATGTCTAAAACTCTGCCTGCTACATCTGCACCTATTCAGCAGTTTCCAAATAAAACTTTATGAAAACATAACTGCATAAAAGTAAGGAATCATACTGGACTAAATGTAAGACAAAACATTAGCAGCTCTGTTACATGTACACAAACGATTCTCAAAAAAAAAAAAAGAAAAGGTATCTTGCTATATAACTATGGCAGCATGTCAGAAAAACATAAATTTGAAGAGATTAATGTAAGTTATTTCTTCTGAGAACCAAAGACAGTGGCCTCTGTCAGTGGGCAAAACACAGCAACTAAGAGGACAAAGAACTCAGCAAAACCCTCTACATTCACATCAATGATAGTTATAACCCTTCCTTTTCAATGGCAAGTATTATGTTTTCACACAAGTAGATACTCTGTGCTCAGCAGCCACATAGCTTTCCAAAAATCACGATTTTCACTGGAGAATACCCATTCACAAAGGCAACACACAGAAACCCCCAATCCCCGGACTTCGAATCATAGAATCCTTTAGGTTGGAAGAGACCTCCGAGATCATCAAGTCCAACCATCAAGCCAACAGTACCAGAATCAGAATCTGTCAGGGTTGGAAGGGACCACAAGGATCACCCAATTCCAACCCCTCTGCCATGAGCAGGGACACCTCCCACTAGATCAGGCTGCCCAGAGCCTCATCCAGCCTGGCCTTAAAGGCTTCCTCAGTAACAGAAGTGCCGGCAAACATCCCAAACACAGGAAAAGCAGAAGCGTTTTAGGGAACACGCCGCGAGCGCCCTGTGTGTGGGTGTGAGGGCAGGAGGCCCGGGGAGCGGCGCTGGCTGTGGGTGCCGCACGTACACCTCTGCACGGCTGTACGGGCACGCAGAGGCGCTCGCACCGACGGGCAGGCCCGTGTCGATGGACACGCACCTTCTATGCACAGGAACGCCCGCGCTATTTTCGCTCCCGCGCTGAAGCGCCGCGTAACTGAACCGCACCGGCCCCCACCGCCCACAGGGGCCCGGCTGGGCCGCGGTACGGCCCCG